AGGAGAGCGCATCCTGGAGGAGGAGGAGGGGGGGGTGGCATGCTGCTTCCGGTCTGGTTGGGCCTGGCCTGCTGCTCTTCTGATCCCGTGAACTCCCGACTCTTCCCCCTGCAGAAGTTCAGGCCCAGGAGCAGCCCAAGTACCGGTTTCGCAAGCGGGACAAAGTGTTGTTCTACGGGCGTAAGATTATGCGCAAGGTAAGGCTGCTTGAGGGGTGTGTGTGGTGTGGGGAGCTGGAGGGGCTGAGCCGCAGGCGTGGGGTGCCCAGGGGCTGATGGAGGCCCTTCCCCCCCCCCCGTGCAACTGAGGCAGCCTCTCCGTGGATGGATTCAGGGGGCAGGGGGGGGGACTCTGAGAGGGGGGCCCAGAGGGAGCCTGGGCTAGGCGGCAGGACACACACACACACACACACACACCCTTTGGCCTTCCTTGCTCAGGGAAGCCTGCCGGCCAGAGGCGTGGGGTTGTCTTTTTTTTGGGGGGGGGGGAGTTGGCAAGAAGGAGGCGGCGTCCCCCCTTTGGATGAGGGGAGGAGCGAGGCTTCTGGGAAACGGTCCTGCGTAGGCTGCAGTCAGCGGGCGGGCACACAGGGCGGAAGGCTTCCCGGCTGGGATGCCACCTCCGGGCGGTGCTTCCCAGTGATCCCGTCTGCTCTGCTGGCAGGTTTCTCAGTCCACGTCCTCCCTGGTCGACACCACCATCTCCTCTGCTTCTCGGCCCCGTATGAAGAAGAAGCTCAAGATGCTGAACATTGCCAAAAAGTGAGCAAATGCGCCAGAAGGGGAGCTCCGGGCGTGCTGGCGTTTGTGGACAGAGTGCCCTTGAAGCGCTGGGCAGCTGTGAAGACCTGGGTACAGAGGGCAGAGAAGAGGAGGGCAAAACAGCTGCCCTGGTGTCACAGGTGGCGCGTGGGGGGGGCCGTGAAGAGTGCTGAGGAGTCCCCCACTTGCAAGACAAGTCGTCATGGTCCGACGGAACCACTTGCTGAAAGCCACTTCCTCTTGAGGCAGTGTGCACATAGTGTGGGGAAAACATGATGATTGCTTAATTCTACCTCTTGGTGTTTGTAAACTGTCTTGCTTCTTGCCAGTCCTCCGTGGACACAGGGTAAATTATTATTCTCCCCACTACTACCACCACCACCTGTCAGCTACGCTCAGTCTATGTCTTGTTAATTGCTACATTCCTCTCTGTGCTTGATCTGCCTTTCGCCGAAACGCTTATCTCTACGGATGTGCAGGAGGGTGTTGTATTGTCTGAGTAACTCCTTGGTACCGTGGGATACTTCTGATTCTCAGCTTCGGCAATCTAACGGTCTCCTAGCATTAACCCGCGCGCGGGAGGGTGCCTTATTGGCCGGTGCCATGGGGGGAGGGGTGCATACGAATTCCCTATATCCTATTATGCCCTACGGGCTGCCACCATTCCTAACAGTGCTTGTGTTACTGCATCTACAGCTCTGCAATAAAAGTATAACCGTTCCTGACTGCTTGTACTTCGTTGTTGGCTGTGGGTTCTGACACCAACCTTTAAATATTCAAAGGATACTCTCGTACCACAGTCAGGTTAGGGAAATCGCTGGCTCCTTCCCAGCTCTGCAGCCAAATCCTCTTCAGTAAGAAGGGCAAGAGACTGCTGCATCTTAAACTGGCATGTTCCTTGCCAAAAAGTAGACTTTGAGGACTTGTGGAGGGGCTGGATAAGGGAGGCAAGCCGTTTGGTGGTGAGCTAGAGGGGCGGGGGGGAAGGGGCTGGGTGTCCCTTTTAGAACCTGAAGGTTTATTTTGATTTCTGAAGAGATTACAGTGCAGACAAGGGCCTGGGGGGTGGGGGTGCTTTCTCACAGCCAAAATCAGGAGGGGGGGGGGAAGAGCTGTGCAGAAGTTGCTTGCGTGCTTGGGGGTTGGCCATTTCCCCCGTCTCTACCGATGCTTCAGCTGTTTCTCTCTGTGCTCAGAATCCTGCGCATCAAGAAGGAGCTGCCAACCCTCCAGCTGAAGGAGCCCCCACCCTCAGTCCTGGAGGCTGACCTTACCGAGTTTGATGTGGCCAACTCTCACCTCCCCTCTGAGGTCCTCTACATGCTGAAGAATGTACGGTAAGCATTGCTGGGTCCCCAAGTTCGGGTCTCTGGTGCCTCTTGGTCAAGGAAGATCATTTCACATGAGCGGATGGCTAAGATTACTAAGAGCCTGCAGGGGTTTCTCAAGAACAAGTCTTGTCAGACTAACCTTATCTCTTTTTGAGAAAGTTACTACCTTGCTGGACCAGGGGAATACTGTAGACATAGTTTATCCTGATTTCAGTAAGGCTTTTGGTAAGGTTCCACATAATATTTTTGTTGACAAACTGGTAAAATGTGGTTTGGATCCTATGACTGTTAGGTGGATCAGTAACTGGTTGACAGAGCGCACCCAAAGAGTGCTTGTGGATGGTTCCTCATCCTCTTGGAGAGGAGTGACAAGTGGAGTGCCTCAAAGGATCTGTCCGGGGACCTGTTTTGTTCAACATCTTTATCAATGGTTTGGATGAAGGGATAGAGGGAATGCTTATTAAATTTGCAGATGATACTAAATTGGGAGGGGTAGGAAATATGGTAGAAGACAGAGTCAGGATACAGGATGATCTTGACAGGCTGGAAAACTGGACTAAAACCAATAAAATGAATTTCAATGGGGATAAATGTAAAGTTCTATGTTTAGGTAGGAAAAATTAAATGCATAATTATAGGATGGGGGAGACGTCTAGGCAGTAGTATGTGCAAAAAGGATCTAGGGGTCTTAGTAGACCACACACTGAACATGAGTCAGCAGTGTGATGCGGTTGCTTAAGACAGATGCAATATTGGGTTGTATCAACAGAAGTATAGTGTCCAGATCACGTGAAGTGCACTTTACTCTGCTCTGGTTAGACCTCACCTAGGGCATTGTGTTCCGTTTTGGGCACCACAATTTAAGAAGGATCCAGACAAGCTGGAACGTGTCCAGAGGAGGGCAACGGAGATGGTGAGGGGTCTGGAGACCAAGTCCCATGAGGAACGTTTGAAGGAGCTGGGTGTGTTTAGCCTGGAGAGGAGACAACTGGGAGGTGATATGATAACCGTATGCAAGTACTTGAAGGGCTGTCATACAGAGGATGGTGCGAGTTGTTTTCTGTTGCCCTAGAAGGTTGGACAAGAACCAACAGGTTGAAATTAAATCCGAAGAATTTTCAGCTAGACATTTGGAAGAACTTCTTGACAGTTACAGTGGTTCCTCAGTGGAACAGGCTTCCTCGGGAGGTGGTGGGCTCTCCTTCTCTGGAGGTTTTCAAACAGAGGCTAGGTGGCCCCATCTGACAGCCATGCGGATTCTGTGAATTTAGGCAGCTCATGAGAGGGAGGGCAGGAAGGGATGCCCCAGTGCTTACTTCTTGAGGGCCCTTTTTTACATTCCCAGGGAAGTGCTGATCACCACTTTGGGGTCAGGAAGCAATTTTTCTCCAGGCCATTTTGGCTGGAGATCCTGGAGGTTTTTTGTCTTCCCCTGGGTAGGGAGCAGGGGTCACTGTGGGTGTGCGGGGGAAGGTAGTTGTGAATTTTCTGCGTTGTGCAGGGGGGTTGGACTAGATGACCCTGGAGATCCCTTCCAACTCTACGATTCTGTGAATCTGAACAGATCTGAACACACACACACACACGAAGCTGCTTTGCACTGAATCAGACCCTCCCTCTGCCGTTGCCTCTGTCCGCTGCTTGTCAGGTCTTGGGCCACGGTTGTCATGCCCCAGGGGGGATCCCACTCGTGTGGCACAGTTTCCTCTGGCCTCAGATGGAGGGCTGTGGGGACTGCGGAACACCTTATTTCTCCTCCTCCTCCTCCCCCTGAGCTCTGGTCTCCGGCTGGGAGCTCGCGCTGGCGTGTGCTCCTCAGCCTCCTCCCTCGAGTCTTTCAGAGGCTCTAACCGTGCCCGGGGATGCCTGGAAAGCCCTCTCTGCTCAGGAGCCCCAGGGCTGCATCCAGGAGAAACCAGTGGTGGCCCTTCAAGCATCCTTTCCCCAGCCATCCCCCCCCCAAGGGTGGAGGGGCAGCCCTGATAGCTGAGACTAGCCCGGTCCCCTCAGAGCTCGGAAGCTAAGCAGGGTTGGGCCATGACCACCCCTTGGATGGGAGACCACTGAGGGAGACCGGAGGGAGGGGACGGCAAGACCACCCCTCTTCGCCTCGAGAACCGCGTGAGCCGGCAGCAGCTTGAGGGCAGGCTCTACCTGCACGGGTGGAGGCACCAGACAGCTGATTGCCGAAGGGGCCGGGGGGCACTGGCTTGGCTGAGTCTTCCAGGGCCCCTTGAAGCTGGCTGGGATGTGGCTTTCCAGGCTGCCTGTCCGTGGCCCTGCCGGGCTACGTTTGGCAATGGGCGGCAGTGTGTGGTTTAGTCGCTCTTGTGTGCAGGACTTCCAGTTGTTGCCACTGGAAGATGCTGAGAGGCTGTGGGGGGTGGGGGGGGGGGGGGGGGTGTAAGTGACCACCTGTGTCTTCGGACCCCGCCTGTCTCCCTGACACAGGTTTAACGCCCAGGAGGTTCCAGGAAGTGCTGAGTGCCTCTTGGAGGGGACTTAGAGTCCTCCTGTCCCTCTTGAAGAAGCTTGTTGTTAGAAATGCAACCAGAACTGTGCTTAGGATCATGGGGATAGGGCAGGGCCACCTCATTCGGGACACCCTTAATCTGCCCTGCAGGTTCTTCATGGCAGGAGGAAGCCCGAACGGGAACTGATTTCCTCGGGTCCTGTGATAACTGATCTGAGTTTTGGGAAGGGCTTCTGTGTTGCAAAGGGCTGAGCGCTGTGGCTGTGAGACCTCATTTGGGGGGGGGGTTGGGGGGGGACACAGAGATGAGTGACGTCACAGTGGGGAAAAGAGTGACTCTGCTCCCAAGTTGGGAGATGGCGACACTTGGCCGAGTGGAGAAGCATTTTGCTGGGTTGCCTGTCATTCGGCCACCTTGAATTTCTGGGTGGCTTGGACTGTTGTCAGGAGTTTGAGGCTGTGTTCGCCAATGTCACAGGAGTGTCTCAGGCGGTCTGTCAAGATGCAAATCTGGGAATGTTCCATCCAGATATGATGGTGTGTGCAGATGTGACCCCAGAAGTATTGGGAGAGCAGCCAGACTCTACCCCCAGCAGGAATGCCAAGGACCCCCCTCAGACACAGAACAGGAGACAGACAGAAGTTCTTGAGCAAGAGCTGGAGTTCAGGAAAGAAATCTGTCAGTCGGTCGGTCGGTCGGTCAAGACCTTTATTGGCATAGAAAGAATTCTGTCACTAAAACAGCTACAAGCAACCAGAGAGCTCCTGGTGGGCGGCAGTGACGTCTTCTCCATCGGGGACAGTGATCTAGGATGGACGTGGGGCTATCAAAACATCGGCTTCAGACTGGGAATGCGGCTCACACCCTGCCACAGACGTTGTCCGTTTGCTGGCCTGTGGCTGTCCCACCCAGTCACGTTATTGTCTATGTAGATGCTGGCCCGGCCCAGGGAACCGAAGGGAGAGGCAAAACCACCTTCCTGACTTATACTTCTGAAATGGCACCCGGGTTAGGGCTTTGGAAGAGCAAAACACAATATCCCACTTGGAGGGGAAAGGTCAGGTGGGGTTGGGGTGGATATACGAGGTGAACAGATGATGATAACTGTATGATTTGTAATTACAGTGTGCAAAATGATTTGTAATCACACTAAATTCAAGGTAATTTGTTGCCAATGAGTAGAGGTGTTTTTGCTTCTCAACAAGGTCTTTGAAACTTTGGGGGAAGAGGCTTCGTCTTCAGCGTCTGCTTAAGCCCTCCGGTATAAATGCTCCCCCGAGTCTCACTGACCCTTCAGGTTTCAGGAGGGAGGGGCGCACAGCCAAGTCCCCCTGGTCCTTCTCTGAACGCAGACCAGGGGCCACTCTTTGGAGCCCTCTCCCTCTTCACCGGGCAGGGGGCGGGGGGGAGGGGGGGATTCCTTCTCTTAGCCAGAAGCTCCGTCCCTTTTCTGGCCTGAATGGGCCGGGGGGGGGGGCTTTCCCAGTGGG